GCTGGGTGGGCTCAGCTGCAGAAACAATGGCGACCCTGGAGCTCCTCACAATGGTGAGTCAGCCCTGATCACGGGTGGCATGACAGTGCCAGCGTGGTCATTTTTCATGAGGATCCGTTGTAGTTACAGTGTTAGGTTATCTGGGCAATTGATGTTTCAGCCAGCACCTGATCTGCTGGATAAGCCAGGGAAACTGCTGTCGCTGGTGATGGTGGCTCAGCCAGGTGGCCACCAAGATGGCACTTGGAGTTGGCACTGGTGGCTTGGCCTGTGGAGGCCACTGGCCTTGCCTGGGCAGTTAGTGGTGTGTCAGGGGTGGGCTCTTACGTGGTGGTGAGGGAGGTTAGTGGTGATGGCTCGTCCTGGATGCCTAGCGTGATGGCTGATGCCCACTCCTCTGCACCAATGAGGGTGATGGCTGGTGGCAGTGATGGTGTGTCATCCTGGACAGTCGGAGGAAAAGCCAGGGGTGGGCTCATTTGGGACAAGGAGTGTGGTCACTGGCAGTAGCAGTGGAGGCTCAGCACAAGTGCTTGGTCACTGTGCTAGACCAGTTGGGGCCACTATTGTAGAGTGGTCACCTGGGGTGGTTATGTTGGTGTCACCCAGAGAGCCACTGTGGTGTGGTTGGGGACAGTTCTGTGTGGCGTCAAGGGCTGCCAATGGCAGTAGAGATGGATGTTCCACAAGGGAGAGTGGGGCTACCACCAGTGACCCTTTGAGCCTGGTGGCAAGTCCAGACTCTAGGGTTGGTGATGCTGTCTGAGCAGGAATAGCTGCAGGCAGTGCAGATTCAGGGCCAGCTCCTCTGTAGAGGACAGGGTAGCCGGTGGCAGAGGCAGGTGACACGGCATAAGTGGTTCAAGGCACAGCTGGGTCAGCTCATTTGTAGTGGCAATAGTGGCCACTAGTGGAAGCAGAGGAGGCTATGACCAGACAATGTTGTGGAACCTGGGCCTGCACATCTAAGATGGTGAGAGTGAGCAGTGCCAGTGGTGGTGGTGGCTCTTCTTGGAAGGTGGTGGTCTGCCAAAGTCCAGCTCACCCGTGCAGTGAATGTGACCCTTGGTGGTCGTGATGGTGGACCTGAGATGTGCCTCCCCTAGGGCAGGGCTCGCTTTCTGATGAGCTTCTTCACTGAACCCTCAGATACTAGCTGCCAAGTTTACTGTGTACAGGCATACTCTGACTACAACCCCCTTTAATGTAATCTCATAATTCCATAGGAAGTGAGCTGCTATCCCATTTCATAGATGAGGAACCTAAGGCTCAAGTGACAGTGCCTTCCCGTGCTCATCCGGCCGGTCTGACCTCAGAGCCTGTGTCTCCTAACCACTGGGACATATCGCTGGGCACAGGCCGCGCTCCCACGCTCCCCACTGTTCACTGCAGTTGCCTGCTCCCTGTTTAATCAAGGAAGGCTCTCGCTTCCTCCAGGGAGAGTCTGGCCAGTGTCCTCTCAAAAGACTGATGGTCTCCTCTGGGGGGTGGGGGCTAATTCTGCACCCACATAGTGGCTGTGGGTGCACAGCATGGTGAACATACTTAATAGTTTGAATTGTACAATTAAAAATGACTAAAATCTCAATCATTTAACACAGTTGAAAAAACAAACAGAAATAAAAAATAAAAATAAATTAAAATATACAAGAAAAATATAGTCACTCCACTGAGGCACCAAGGGTGACCGAGCACAGCAGCTGGGCACTCTGCTGGGACTGCTTTCTATGATAGTCACTCCACGGAGGCACCAAGGGTGACCGAGCACAGCAGCTGGGCACTCTGCTGGGACTGCTTTCTATGGTGGCCAGGGTGGCAATCTTGAGTGGCGGTGCTGGCTTGTCTGGGGCAGCTGTCAGTGCGGCAGGGCCAGCTCCTCTGCGGTGTCAA